ATCAGCAAGCAAAAAAAAAAAAAAAAAGACAAAAACTGTAAGTGGTAGTCCCCATGAGTGAGCTTTGCCCTGGCCCCCAGAGAGACTAAATCCGCCTCTGGACTCGTCTAAAAATGAGAAGTTTAGCAGTTCCTACCTGTCTGGACTCGCTTGAGTTAAAGTTCTGCTCAGTTCTCCAAGAAAACCATCCGAGAAGGTCCTCTACACACAAAGCAGCTTCTTGTTGTTGTCTTGTCTCTTTTTTATAGACGGAGAAACCAGTTTGGGTTCACTTTACGAGACAAACGCAGCCTCCTCCAAGTGTCATTTCTTCCTTCCGCTCGGTGTTTGTCCTCAGAGGTGTCCGTCTGTCCGGCAGCTGGCGTGGATCTGTCACAGCCCCGGGACTTTCATGAATCAAGGTGTCCGTGGGAGACGCTCAGCAACAAGTGGCAGGACGAGAGAGAGAGAGACTTCTTCACGCGCATCACAAAGTTTCCAAACTCTTTACGCGCGGAGCAGCAGGAGAGGAAGAGGAGGGTTCGAGTCTCTCAGAGGGAGTGGACACAGACCCGAACCACTGTCCTCTGCTCCAACTGGGAGGTGGGCTCCTAAACAAACAAACAAACAAACAAACAAACCTGTAAGTGTGACAGATTGTTAATTGGCTTAATTAAAGCCACCTGAGAGACGCTGCACACCTGGAGCTGATTAGACTTCAAAGACTTGACGTTGCACACAAACATGCACAGAAATCATATTTTTGTTTGTTTATTTATTTATGTTTACCTTCATTTAGACTCTAAATGATTTGTTTTAACGCACGACTCCAAAAAGTGGAGGTGGAGGACGATGTCTGTTAGCAAAATATCTCTCTAGAATTTAACTCCAGAACAGGAGACGCAAAAATATTGAACGTGGAAAGCACAACTTTTAATGAGGACACAAACATTGTGCACAAAATTAAAGATCCTCAAATCGAAAGAATTGAAACAGCAGATTTTTTTTCTCATTTAATACGATTATAAAGAATGTGATGGGAAAAGGCGCAAAATAAAAAACACGAGAAATAGGTTAAATATCACCAAGCAGAACAGTTATTTACAGAAAATGACCAAAATACGACCAAAAAAAATAAAATAAAAATAAGGTCAAATGATAGAAGCACAAAACATTTAGAATAAAAAACTATAAGGCCCATGTACTTCAAGTTAAAAAAGTGATTTAAAAAAAAAAGAGCAAAATAATAAAAATGGGGCTCAAATACACACAAAAATGATCTAAACTGGACAATAAACTGCAATAAAAAGAAATAAAAATGAGATCAAGGATCTGTCCGCCGGACTTGAACCTCATTGACCCTGACGGATGAGGATTTAAAGGTCTTGACCGAAGCCTTCACTGCGTTTCTTCTTAATTTAAAGAAAAGAAAGTGACAGAGTTGGAGCAACAGAGGAGGAAAATGTCACCAGTGCCAGAGGATGTTTGGACTCAGCTTATTTTAGCAGCTTGACTCCATTGACACCATTTTTAGCTCTTTCTAAAGGTTTTTCCTTTTCTCCACAAAGTTCAATTTACAAACTTGGATTAGAAGCAAAAAAAAAAAAGAAGCTGAACAGACACCAAACACCTGCATGCAGCCGTTATTCAGCATGAAACTGTTGGATTGTAGAGCTGCAGTTGGATGATTGAAACCACGTCGTCTCTAATCCAGCGTAAGGCCTCCCAGCTTCCTCTGCAGTCAATCAAACCTTTATTCTCCTCCGTGAACGTCCATCACGCGCAGAAACGCATGGATCCGTCTTCTTACAGCGTCTTTATGATCCAGTTTAGGTTGTAATTGAACCGGCAGGCGGCTATAACCAGGTTTCACAAACATATTGGATCAAACAAAACCACATTTTAACAACAAACACTGGAAATATGATCTCTGTTGAAGCTGGAGCGAAGGGTGCCCAACACAAAGACACTTATAGGAAGAAGTCTGATTGATGAGCTCACAGATCATCAGTACCTCTTCTGCTTTCTTTACATTTATAACATTAGAGAGAATCCCAGCAGATGTCAGACTGACTGCTTCCAGAATGGTACAGATGTGTTTGGCTCTCACTTAAATGTCCTAAAGGTTTCCTTTTAACTGTATTTTTAGAGTGCTCGTCTACGTTTAAACATTTGGGATCCTTCCACGGAGACAGACATGGACTGTTGATTTGGGACCTTTGGATCATGCATTCAGCTCATATTAAAGTCAGGCTTGCACAAATATTTGCTAAAAAAAAATTGAAGTTATCCCTCCATGAGGAGATTCTGGTCTGAAATATTTAATGTAACTGGAGAGGAAATATCTCTTAATGTTGTACATCCTTTGTTTGGAGTGTACTTCAAATGACTTAGCATTCACAACTCTGCAGGTGAGAAAGAAATAACTTGTATTATTAATAAAGTGCAATATTTAATCAATTGTATTGCAGAGATCACAGCAGTGGAGGAAGTTAAATAGTTCAAATCAAGACGGTTAGCTTCGAGGTTCAAAATCCACAAGAAAAGTAGCATCCAACTACTCTTAGTCTAAATTACTCTGTTTATTTTATAACATGGTCAAAAATATTAAAAACATACTTCCACAATACTTTTTCCATCGATTTTATAGTTTCTTGCAAAATGTTTAACAGTAATTGCAGTTTCTTCTCTTTTTAAACAAAGTTTCATTGTAAATAGCATAAATAAAAAAAATACCGTATTTTTCGGATTATAAGGCGCATCAAGCGAAGCTAAAACATCTTGACAGATTTTTGAACGCCGTGTAGCACATGAAATTAGTTCGAGGTCAGTAAGTACAACCAAAATTAATAGATAAGGCTCCCTTTTGATTTTTGAGAAAATTGAAGGATTTTAAGTGCACCTTATAATCCGAAAAATATAGTACATGAAAATAAATGTTTTATATGTAACTGGTGTAGAATATACCACAGTAATTAATTCTAATTATCAGCTTTTAAACTAAATATTTCCTTTTCAATGCATTATGAGCTGCTGTTTAAATAAAAACCTTTACTGTTATCTGGTTAATTATTCCCTGACATCGTCATATATTAAATATTTACAACTAAAAATTTAACTGTAACCCTAAAAAAAATTTTAAAAAAAAGGCAGATGTGAGTCCCTTCTGGATGTTGCGCAGGACTTGGTGTCCAACTCGTTTAAAAGTCGCCGTAAATCTTCCGTCCAACTGGAAGACGAGATCGTTTCACTCGAAATTCTTCTCAGATTTATGACAAACTGCGAGGCAAAGTTTAAAATACAATCAGCGGTGTGGAAGAGCTTCAGCAGAGACGAGATGATGAAATGATGTCGGGTGCTCAGCGTGCCGTGTCTCCACTTCTCGATCTGCCTCTCCATCACATAAATCAGGGAGTCGGGCGGCCGTGTCTCTTCCTCCTCCTCCTGTCCGCCCCCGTCTGCTGGCTTTTATTAAGACAGTAGATGGAGAAAACAGAACTGGACGGGAGACAAAGTGTTGCCATGTGTGGCGGTAAACGATGTCGCGTTACGTTTACGGCCCGCCAGGAGAAAAACATTACGTTGACCCCATGTTCCTGCTGTGGACCAGGACCAGAGAAGGTCAGGAGTCAGGTGAGGGTCAAGTCAGTCAAACTGGATGGGTCTGATGAGGAACTTCTGCAGATATAGTCTAGAAAGGTTACGAACAGTTAACATCTTACCTGCTGCAGATAGCTTGCAGTTTAATTTTGACCTGGCTGACAAGCTAACACCTCCAGTTTCCAGATTAACCATTAGCCTGTTAATCTGGTCAGAGCTAAACTTCTAACAAGCAGTTCAGAGGCATCTGTAACAGGTAAGATATTTATTGCTCATAACTTTTCTACTTCTAATAATCAGATATATCCGTAAGAAAGTAGGCGCCCGTTTGTAAAACGCCTCTTCTGTGTCTTGTATTACAACTTGTGATGCAGAGATAGAGAGAGAGAGAGAGCGTTGAACTGAAACAGGACGAGGGCTCTGAAGAAAGACAGAGGACAAACATGACGAGTTACGTCCTCATTCTGGGAGAAGAAAAATCCACTCAGGACAAGATGACAGGCACCTGAAAGTCTGCATGTGGGAGGAAAGAGAGAACAGAGAAACCTGAATTTGTATTTTCTGACCATTTTTTGGTTCATTGTTTATTTAAAAATGTATTCTTGTAAAATACTTTTCTCATTTTGGCTCCATCAAACGTTAAATAAATAGGTCCAATACGGGAAACCACACGAGATGAAGAAAGACCAAACAAACTAAAGATAAATGCATATTTTATTCCATTCTCATTCAGATTTTTAATCCAAGGTCAAAGTGAGTCTCAGTCATCTTCACTGTCAGTGACAAACGACATCGGTACAAAACAGACAACAGGAAACTGGATTTACAACACAAGCGCCAACCTGACAGGGTTTCTTCCTAAAATAAAACACCCACCGTCTTTCAGACCTTCCATAAACTGTGTGGGAACATTAAATCTTTCGTTTGGAGCGACTGCACACAAAATCAAAGCCTTCATTTTGGTTTTGATTTGTGGAAGAACAAAAACAAAAAGCTCAGGGGCCAGAAGTAGAATTTTTTAAACTTTAAAATTAGGTTTGAACTTCCAATTAAAGTGGGAGGTCCACTGAAACCAAGAACACGAGAACACATTCCTGATGGACACCAAACTTAAATGTAACAAAATGTCCACACGATTGGCAGTAACACAAACGGAAAGAAAAGGCTTGACACTTTTTGTAGTAAATCAATCAAGAGATGACAATTTTATGTAGGACAAGAACAAATATATAACATTTATTCTATATTCTCTCCCTCCCAAGAAAAAAAAAAAGATATTTCAGAGAAAGGGGAGTTCAGTTTTAACCACGTTTACTTCAAGGACACGGTCTGGATTGGGATTATCTGAACTCAGTTCAGTTAGGGCACCGTAACCAAACTAACAAAACCTTCAATAGTACACAAATGCATTTTAATAAAGGTTTGTTGCGAGATTTTGCCTTTTCTTAATAAAAAAAATAAATAAAATAAACTGATGGGTTAAAGCATCATGTCTCCCTGATGAAAGCCGTTTCTTTTAATGAATCATTTCTCTTTAATGACAACTATCTGGAGGTAAAAGATAACAGAAACATGTTTATTAGACACTTGAAGAGGAAATAAAACAAGAAACGGGGAAAAAAGGACTAAAAGTTAAAAGGATAGCAGCAAATGATGTAAAGAGCCAAAGGCAGCTGAGAGCACCACACAGTGAACCCATCAAATAAAAACGTGGCGACAACGTGCAAGTCTAGCATTAGAACGGAGCGGGCAGCTCACAGGCTGACATCGTTGTCCCTCAGAGCGACTGAGCGACATGATGGCTGAAGTGGGAGAGACGGCCGGTGCAGCCGAGATGCAGAGCACTTAGAAAAATATATCTATTCTGACTCATCTGCATGCCAATAAAGCACTTTTAATTGACCTTTTAACTCTGCAAATACTGCCTTTTTTACTCCTGTAGACCCACTTTCCTCCTAAATTAAGACGTAACACTGATTCTCTCGGAGGAGGTTTGTGGCACCAAGCAGGAGATTTCTGATGTGTGTGTGTTTGTGTGTGTGAGTCCGGTCAGCAGCTTTCCTCCAAAGCGTTGACCACTTGTTCCAAAATGTCAGGGCATCGGTCAGCGATCTGCTGCAGGACTTGGTTAGCGTACTCCTGGAGCTCCGCCCCTTCACTCTCACACGTTGCTAGCTCCGCCTCCAGCTGAAAGACAGATGGATAAAAAAGGAAATGAGGAGAAAATAAATGGCGATTTTAGAAGTTTTTATTCTTATTACTTTTAAACCAACCTGTACTTAAAACAAAATTGCTGAACAATATACACAAACATTATGATTATTTATTTTTTTTTTGGTATTTTTTTTGTCATTTCTAAACCTAAAGTCAGTGCAAAACATTTATTTATTACACTTTTGGGCACAGTTCTGCTAATTTGCTAACAGTTACTGGCAGAACAATTTTTTTCATTTAGTGGATTGGCATTTTTGCTAACATTGGAAACCGTTAGCAGAATTAGCTTCCGCTAAATTAGGTTTTGCCAACTTTAAGTCCGCTAACAAAATTCACACACTTGTTCCTCTCTGTTGTGGTTGTGTCTCAAAGAGCCCGTTACACGCTATTAGCTTACTACGTGTACACGTGACAAGACACGATTGGACGACGCAGCTTCAACTGGAAGGAGACGAAAACGTGACGTAAACTGAGTGACAGCCGTCTGAGTGGTTAGCGGTTTAGCGTTAGCTTCTGCCAATTATTTTATATCTGTCTAGCAGTTTAGCACTAGCAAAGCCAATTTTTAAGTTAGCGGAATATGGGTTAGCAAAGCTAAATTTTGGTTAGCTGTGCCACCACTAGTTTATTAGTAAAAAGTTGCAATGCAGTAATTTTTATCTTTTAGCTAAAGGCATTTAAAGTTTTAAACAAAGGATACCTAGTGATGTTTTAGTGCTCAGATAATGGGATGGGAATGACTCTCAGCTACCTACATCAAATGTTATCTAAATATCTGTAAACCTGACAAAGAGTTAGTCATTTTTTTGTTCGAAAAGGTTAATTAGCTGTGGTGGCCATCTTGAATTGTTGTTTCAAGCGCTAATCAGTATATGCACATCAAAAGAGTTTCTTAAAATCCGTTCACTGGTTCATGAGGTAATTTGCAGACACACAGATTAAACTCCATGAGAAAATGCGATTGCGTGCCGAAAATTGTATCTTTTTCTTCTCGCGCAGCCCTCGAGACCCCTTTCTGTGCACAGTCGCCCGTCATTACTTTTGTCTTGCAGGTTCTGAGCCAAGTATTGTGAGACTGGTCAGAACTCTGTGCAGGTTTATGTGGAAAAGCGGCTACAGTACGCCGCTCTCATTCTTAACTGTTCCAGCAAAACTTATAAAGACAGTCAAAGAATTTGTGGAGAGAAATTGCACAATTTTTGTGCAGGACGAGCGTGGAAACACAAGTGGCTTATCGTCAGTGATAGCAGTATCTTAAAGCTCTTCTTGATGAAAAAACAAAATGATATTGTGACTGTGTGAAGTCATTAAAGCACACAAAGGTCATGAACTGACGGCCATCTTTGACACTCCTTTCACATCATTTTAGGCTTTTTTCTTATAATCTTTCAACCCACAGAGTTAAGCCTTTAGATTTTATTGTTCCAGGTAATTGCATAGCTCACCATAAATATGTTATATCTTCCATACCGTGATTATGTTCCTGCACTAACAGAGCCTACACTTTAACCAACACATTTTGATGCCTATTAACTGAAAATGAGAGGAGCTGACATACAAGCACAGGGAAATGAAAAAAAAAAGTGAAAACTGTGTCTAAACTGGTCTCGTCATTCATCGTTGGGACCTTTTTTCTGTTTAAACGAACAAGATGGTTCAGAGTCACCCTCAGCCACGCTCAACTACAAGAGTCCACTGGCTCTGCTCCGGTTTTACAGACCACGGTAGTTTGTCCTACATGGTCGAAGTAGTAAAACACAACTGGTCGAGTACATTTACACAAGAGTTCGTGGCCAACATCAACTCCATACGGCTGAACTTCATAGTCATGTCTGATGGATCACAAAATCAGGCGACTGAGCTTCGCAGTCGGACTGGTCTCAGTATTTTTCAGGTCACACACACACATATCGGACAGAGCGTTTCTTTCTGTACATAGAGTGGAACGTTTCTGCTAGAGAGCACCCATGTTATTTTCTTTGGCTGCGGCCGAGCTGAGCCGTCAAATCTAACTGGCTTAATGACCAATACATCTGTATCAATAAGAGTGCCGCTAAAATAGTCATGTAACACAAGCCCACATTTATATTAGAGAGTGTGTGCATGTGTTTGAGAGGACTGGGTCAGATATTGGCAAGTACCCCCTCGTTATATCCTAACCTCTTCTCTCTCCTCTCATCTCCAAGCCAGAAAACCCCTGTGGTATTATATAATGCAGCGGTGCTCTTCACATATAGAACTGCTCAAAGCAATAACGTTAATGATTAATGAAACGGTGCTAATAAATCAAGCGCACATATCGCCGATTACCCATATAGACTGTAGGGTTGTTTTATTATCGGAGATACTGAGTTTGAAAAACGAGAATGTTATCCAGGCACCAAGGCTCGTATAAAAGAAAAAAGTCATATTGCTTTTTTTTTTTTTTAAATGAAAATGTAGGGGACGATGTAGAACTTGGCCCAAACAAGGAATAAACGTCAGGCTAGCTCAAACCAGTTGAGACATTTGGCTCTTGCAGATGTGATTCCAAACAGCTGGCTTGCTGAGCAAGTATGCTATCATATCATACCAACAAAAGAGAATGCTCTCCCACAGGACTTTTATTTATATATAGTATAAACAGCTTTATTGATCTTAACTTTAATCAGCTGTACCATTATTTACAATATAAATATGGTATGTCTAACCAGTTGAATAGCTTATAGAATCCAATGGGTTTCAGCTTGATTGGTGACCGGCTGCTCCGACATGCAACAATTTAGAAAATTCCCACACAGTGAACGCAGCACATTTGCTAGCAAGCAGTGTGACTTCACTGTGTAAAGCCTCAAATTTAGTTGTATACTACCTGTATGGTGTTTAGCATTAAAGTCATGTGCAGATCAGACGTTTTTAAAGAGGTTTTTAACTAGAAACTAGCAGCAGTCGTACATTGTTGGCTGCAGTAAGAGTAATAAATGCTTCAGGTCTTCAAGCCCCAGCTGCCCGAGTCATGTTTTCTTCTGCTGTGTGAAGAAAAAGGGGTTAGACTTAAAGCAGTTTGCAGCGTCGCTCTTTGTCCGTGTCATTTTCAGAAACTAGGACTAAGAAGAAGGTGCTACACATCACCAGGGTTACACAAACAGGTTGTACAGGTGGTTGTTTTGGAGCTGGAGATGTTTTTGATCCCTATGATCTGAGGGAAGAAGCAGATGGGCTGTGAAACAGTTACGTTGCTTTCTGGAGGGCGGCCATTGAAGTCATTTCTGATTGGGGTGGTAAATGTCCTTAACGGACTGGTTTACCAGACCTGCACAGCTGGAGGCAGCAATGATCTCTCTTATGCAGATGAAGGATAAGATCAAAGTGGAAATTCACCCACCACCGCTCTTCTCTCTCCTGTTTGTGTGACCAAAGTTTGGCCCATTTTGCTCCATTTAAAAGCTCCACTGGCATCAGACCGAGACAAACTACCCCCATTACCAAACCTACAGACAGACGCTCTCTTTCCAGGTGATGTAAATAGGAAACACATGTTTCAAACACTGCTGTGAAATAACCCAACAAATCATTTGTAGAAGCTATGAAACGTTTGTTTTCATGCATTTTTAGTTATGTGGAAGATAATGCGACATTATCAGGGCTTTGAAGAATTGTTACTTTATTACAGGCTGGCATAATACGATTTTAAGCAGAGGGAAAAGCTTTGAGCACATATCCAAAAAAGTTCAATCTGGTCCAATGGACATAAAAAAAATAAATAAAAAAAAACAAAGCAAAAAAATGTAGGTAAGTTTCGTCTTTCATCCGAAAGACTTCCTCAGTCTGAGGTGCTGTATTCAGCTCAGTCTCTTAAATAGCACCTTCTCAGAGTGGATCAACCAGTTTGCTGCTGACAACCAAAACCAGCTGCTCACATGGTCAAGAAGAACCATCAGCCTAACAATGGATCATTAGCACACTGATGGCTGTTTACTATTCACAGGGGGCTGAGTGATACTAGCAATCACAGCATTGTAAGAGGGGGACAGTTGGACCCGGAGGCCTCCACCCCTGTTTAATGATGGATGATTTCTTTTCACAAAGATGGCCTCCTTTACTCCTCTCCCAAACCATCGTTCCTCTCTGTCCAGGATGTGAACATCTTCATCCCTGAAAGAGTGACCGCTGGCCTGGAGATGAGTGTAGATCGCAGAATCCTGGCCTGATGATGTTGATCTTCTGTGCTGGGCCATCCTTTTGGCCAGTGGCTGTTTAGTTTCCCTGATGTAAGACTGATCACAGCCCTCCTGACACTGAACAGCATACACAACATTACTCTGTTTGTGCCGGGGGACTGGATTTTTGGTTTCCAAATATCTGGCGTCTGTACTCATCCCTTTAGTTGGCAGCTCAGAACACCACATACAGAACACCATGGACTTTGTGGATAAGGTGAGGGATGTCATCATGGAGACTGATGAAACAATGGTCTCTTTTGATGTCACATAGCTCTTTATGTGCATTCCTGTTGATGCAGTAGAGGTGGTCAGTTTAAGATTAAAATCAGACACCACTCTGAGCAGCAGGACCACGCTTCCACAGAACAACTGTGTCAACTCTTGAAACTGTGCCTGCAGTCAACCTACTTCACATATGGGGAGCAATATTATAGGCAGAAACATGGGTGTGCTATGGGGTCTCCAGTTTCTCCTATTGTTGCCAACCTGTACATGGAGGAGGTAGAAAAGAGAGCCTTGACGTCCTTTTCAGGGACACCACCAAGTCATTGGTTCAGGTATGTTGACGACACCTGGGTTAAAATCAAATCTCAGGAAGTCCAACATTTTACTGACCACATCAACTCTGTGGATAAATACATCAAGTTCACATGAGAAGATGTAAAAAATGGCAGGTTGACTTTCTTGGACTGTGAGGTCTCAGTCTCTGATAGAGGACATTTGCAAACTGAGGTGTACCGCAAGCCCACCCACACAGACCAGTATTTGCAG